TTTTTTTTTTTTTTTTAGAAAAAACAAAACTCCAATCGGCTCCTCCCTGCCCCTCCAAGCCTTTAGTTTGTGATCAAACGAATATCTAGATATTTTCCAAAGCGCCTCTCAGCGAAGGGAGGAGGAAGAGGCGGCTGGGTGTGAAGGAGGTGTAATAAAAGTCCTTTTGGAAAAATTCAGTGGTAAAAAGAGAGAGAAACAGCTGTAAAGAAAAATGCTGGGAGACCAAGCAGATGGGGCCCCGATATTTAATGACGGGCAATTCCGTTTACAACCTGAGAAAAGATCAAAGGCGTTTCATTTCCGAATGAAGGGCAATGAGGAACCATAAAAGATGCAGCCAGATGATATAGGGTCCCTCCCAGCCTCTCACACATCCTGGGAGCCAGGAGAGGGGGTCTATCCTGGGGAGGTGTGGGAGGAACCCCATTTCCCCAGCTTCCTAGCCCCAGGCGGGTCCTTTCCTTCTAAACACACATACGAACTCGCTTAGCCACCTGCTTGGGTTGGTAGTGGTAGGACCAAAATGGGCATCTGGGGTTTCGGAACCAACTTTCTGAGGCTCCCAGAAGTCGTGAATTTACTAAGCTGAGAGTCTGGGGATTGGGCTGGAGGGAACTGAGACTGTGAAAGCTGTGACAGAGTAAGGGAAAATGTGCATAGAAAAAGCCTCCACCCCACCCAGACTCCCTACTCAACTCCCTAGGTCTGAGAAATATTTGCATCTCTAGTGAGAAAGTCAAAATAATATCAATTTCATTAACAAATACAGGAACAACACAAAAACAACCCTCTAACTGCAAAACTCCAGAGATCTCTGCCTATCCCCAGTCCTGGGACCTCGCAGGTGGGTAGGAGGAGAGTTCCCATCTGCCCACAACTAGGTCCAGAGACCCTCTGATTTTCTTTTCATCTTAAATCTAGGAATTGCCAATGTTGGCCTCTGGGCCTGATTTCTAACATCAACATTCTCCCAGACAGGCTGAACTCACACATATTTGGGAGAAAAAAGCAAACTATTATTACACTACTGTTGTCTTTGCCAAGAGAAGGTCCAATAGGTAATCTCAGACCCCCATCTGGGCAGTCAGGGAGACTAGAGTCTGGCCCAGGGCCCACAGACAAAATGCGCTGCTAGGATCCCCACCAGCTCCCTAGCGTCAACCAGGGACCTTTTACAAATCTTGTCAAAGGCCACTTAGGGTCTCCAGGACCCACTCCAACCGTCCAGGCCCCTCCCCCACCCCATACCTCCTGTCCTTCTCAACTCGACAGCTCTCGGAAACCCTTCCAACCCGTCGGCATTTCGGACGTTTGGGAGGGCCGCTGGGCCGGCTGCCGGGCCTCTCTGCTGCTCTACACTTCACAAGGGATGCGGCCCAGGTGCCCCAGCACCCCAAGAGAGAGGAACAGGGGGCAGAGCCACCGCGGGTTTGGGTATCCTTGATACTGGCGCCCGAGAGCAAAGATTTTTCTCCTCTGTGCGCTGGAAGCCGCCACCTGCCAATCCCACCAAGGCGCCGCACCCCCCACACCCCTCTAGTCGCCCGAGACAGAGAACAGGGTTTATGGGCGACTCCCAGGACGGGTTTCATCGGAGCGGGAGGCTGCCTCTACCCTCCACCGCCCAGAAGGATACGAACAGCAACACGCATAATAATAAAATAAGAGCAGGGGCTGCGCGCTATCAGAGCCACCTCCCCTGCGCTCCCGGGTCTTTCCGCGGCTTCCCGACCGCCTTCTCCAGTAGCCACAGGTTGCTAGCATGACCTCGCGCCGCCCAGCCACCCTCCGCCGTCCGGGCGTGTCCAGCCCGCGAGGAATCACCTTTTGTCGGAGGGGAGAAGGGACTCAGCGAGGGAGTGAAACCGAAGGCCCGAGCGGAGGCGAGTCCCCAGCCGGCCTGCGCATCGGCGGCGGCGGCGCGGAGGAAAGGCCCAGAGCGGGCGAGGGCGAGGGTACTCACCGGGAGGCTCCCCAGCCCCGCCGGCCGCCGAGCCGCCCGCGGACGCGCTGGGCAACAGCTGAGCTCGCTCCTGTCCACTATTGTGTGTCCGGAAAACCGGACCGCGGCGGCGGGCAGAGCCACGGGCTCCCTCAGAAGCCGGAACATGACTTTTTTTTTTTTTTTTTTTTGGTGTGTTTTTGTTTTGGAAGCGCAAGTTTTCGTATTAATCTCATACTTTGGCAGTCTTTGTTAAACAGGCGCGTCACGAGGCTCTCAAACATTTTAATAATTTTTAGACGCCGTGACCTGCGGTTCACCCCTCTCCCGGCCTCCCCCACCAGCAGGCAGTTACTATAATACGCTCGCGCAGTTCGCTGGGTCATATTGAATTTTGCGTAGGTCATTACTTGGGAGAAAAATGACAGAGCAGAAATTTGATTCAGCTCATCCTCTCCAGCTCGACTTTTCGCCAGAGTCTTCTCTTCTCTTCACCCAACCCCCACCCCAAAAAAGTCCCATTCGGATAAGAGTCAGTCGGCCACGCCCCTGTTTTGACTTTCCATCATTCCCATATTTTTGTCAGCTCTGGTTCCAGAGAGAGTGTGGGGTTTCACGTGGGATCCTTTTGAGGCCTGAGAAGGAGGCTGGCACGGGGAAAACTGAAAGCGTGGCTTTGGGCATCTGGGCCCCAGAGAGCAGGCCTGAGCAAGAGGCCCCTTCCCTGAACCTTACCCCTAAATGCCTGTATGGCTAGGGCCCGAATCCCCACTCCATTGCACACTCCATCTGCTTTGTTGGCTCCCCTAAGTGTCAGAGATACCCTCATTTCTACAAAAACTTTGGAAGCTCCAGGGCCTAGAAATGACCACTCCACCTCTTGGGGCCAAGATTTTGGTCCACACAACCCAGCAGTTTCGAGGAAGCTAGAACCCTGAGAGACGTGCTGGGCTGGGCTGGTCAAAGCTGGGGACATAACTTTCAGAGCTTTAACTGTCCTTTAAATACAAAACAATAGCTTCCCCCTACCCCCAAATAATCGTTCTCATCAATACAGTAACACTTTTGCCTACCCCCATCAACCACACAAGGAGGTTCAGGAGCAGATCAAGAAGGCATTTAAAACAGTGAGATTTTCTTGGGTTTGTCTCTCCAGGATTAGAATCTGGTGGATTGCCTACAACACACTTCTCCCGTTCTCCAGCCTCCTAGCGACCTGCAGAGGTGAGTCAGGTGACTCCCCTTCCTCCCAGTTCAAGTCTACAGACTGAGACAGGGCTCCAGCCTAGTTGGTCGGGTGGTAGCCTCCTAGTAGGGAGAGGTCAAGAAAGAACTCCCCAAGGCACCCAGCTTGGTCTAGAATGGCAGAGGCCACTTCTTCCCCATCCTAGGTCCCTCTAGCCCAGGACCTTGGGCTGCTCCAGTCTATACCAAAATTTGCTAACGTTCTGTCCTGGAACAGAAGGAGATGGATTCTTCAGTTCAGGCTTTGACATCTGTCTCTTCAGGACTCCAGAAATTCCCTCCTGGTCTGACACTGCAGAGAAACTCGCCTAAGGACTAAGCAGAAATAGGGACCTACACCCAACTGGTTTAGTCAAAACCCTGGGTTAAATCTATTTGAAATTTGATATTAAACCTTTGTCTCATCTGGCCATGTTTCAAAAAGGAATCTTTACAGAAACTCTCAGGTTACCTTCATCCTAGAAGGAAAAACGCCCACAGTGTACCTCCTATAGTAAACTCTTGGAAGAGAACATAATGACATCTCATAATACAACAGTCATTTAAAGACCCAAAATAGGCATATGCCCCAGTGTTATAATTACTGAGTCTCTCTAGGCATTTACTTATGAGCTAAGCTCAATGCATGGATTCAAAGTTCATTTCAGGTTGCCTGTTTCAACTCCAGTAAAAAAGATCTCTGTGAGGCCATTTGGTACTTTTCCTTTGCATTTCTCCTCCCTCATCCAAATAGGAAGAGAAGGAGTCAAGATAAACACAAAAATGGAGGCTTGGGAGAGAGTGAAAGAATTAACAAGCTAATCTTTCAATAGGTAAGTTCTTAAACTGCAGCAATTTGGAGAGACAAATGAGAGTTTGGAAAGGCTCCAGTGTTGGCCCATGCTCATGGACCCTACCTTCCTGACACAGCCTGGGGGTTAAGGGTGCTGGAAAACAGGCCTGCCTCTCCCAGGGTTGGGGGATTGAAAGAGTCAGTAGTTTGACCCCTTTAGGGCAAGCAGGGTGAATTGATGTTGGTGAAAATCAAACCTTCACATTGGAAGTATTCTTTGGCCCTGCCAGAAGTCCTACAAAGACGTGGGGGTAATTTAATTGAATTTCTAAAATGTGTGTGGCTAGGAAGGTTTAATTAAATTTAATATGGTGACTCAAAGATTATCTTTGGAAGAGAAAATTGTTCAGAGGGTTCACCACACCCTAAGTGCTGTCTTTTCTACAACTCACCACCACCACCAGTCTCACCCTTTTTGGAGAAGGGATTTTTCCTTCCTCAGTTTCCCCTCCCCAGATATCTGCCTCTTCGCTGCCCAATTCTGCTCCCCCACTTCTGCAACCCACAAATCTTCCTTACCTCCAGCATCCCTGGCTCCCTGGTCCGTCTTCACACACATACAGCCCCCTCCCCCACCGCTCCACCCCACCCCCGCCCCAGTCGCCTCCGCCGCGCTCGCTCACGCATGGTGTAAACTTTTGACCCTCCAACTTTGCGACCCCTCCGGCAATAACACTGGCCTCACCACCCAGGGTCTCATTCTGCTATGCCGGCCGGCCGCAGAAACCCCAGGGCAAAACGCTCTCCTTACCCCTCCCCCTTTCGCCAATGTCCCCACTCCCCCAGGGCCTTAGACCTGGGCAAGATGAGTCTTTTGACTATTAAATAACTCCTTGGAAAAGGACGCGGAACCCACTTCACGCATTTTCAACGGTCTCTTCTATTGGGATGCCTGGAAGGGCTTTTGACCACTCACCCTTCTTCATTTTTGACCCCCAAGTGGGGCAGAGGTTGCTGGAGGAAGAGACCTATGGTGAGCAGTAGAATGGGCTGACCTGGAGAAGGGCATTTTTGGGGTGAAGGGTGGAAAGAGCTTGGAGCAGGGGCTCCTCGGGAGCAGAGGGGGCCACTGTGCTCACAGGGCTGGAGGGAGAGCTCAGTGTCCCAACAATGCGGGGCCCGGGGCCACCTTGCGCGGCCGTTCGCTGGCGCCTCGGAGGCCCCAGCCCGGCTGTGAACTTGGTCTAAGGCGGACTCTACTGGCAGCTCCGGGATGTTACAGCCTCTGCCTCTAGTCCAGAGCAGCGGCCGTGCGGACAACCCGCGCGCTTTCGGTTTCCCTTCTGCCCAAATATCGCCTCCCAGACCACCACCTCTCACTGGGAAGGATTTCCTTTCTCCTTCCTTAGGATCCTTTGGGATTCAGAAAACAGAAAAGAAAACGAATTAGAGATGCACGCACCTAAGGACAAACCTGCAGAAGCCCCGAAATAGGGTATCCTCCATGATGCCTCCAAATCCCCCAAGAGGCGACGCCCCACACAGGTTGGCACTTTCCCTCCACTTCTCCCCTAAGTGTGTCTTCCCCAACTGGCCTGGGTCATCTTTTGGTACGGCAAAATGGTCTGGGGCCTGCGAGGTACCTTTCCTCCCTGGATGCATTCAGCCCTACCCCACTGGGCTCCGAGGTCAGGGATCGCTGTGACCAAAACCAGCCTCTGTGCTCCGAAGCCGCAAGGCTCAGCCCGGATCCACTCGGGGAGAGGCAGGCCAGAGGGCGGCCTTGCAGCCTGGGAACCGTTTCCAGGGAGCAGAAGCTAAAGGATACTGCAGAGAGTGCATTTTTCTCTCCAAGAGGAACTTTAGGGGGAGAAGAGACAAGAGAGGAGACGCCTAAATCACCGAGAAAAGGAAAAAGGAGGGAAGAGAAACGTTAAAACTTAGGGAAAAGGTGCTTTTTGGGATCCGACAGGTTTCCGAATTGCCGGAAGTCCAATCCTCTCCAGGCTCCCAAATTTCCCCTCTTCCTCTTGGAGCCTGCAATCAGTAAATTCGCCAAAAGAAAGAACGAAAGATCCGCCTAAACCTGCCGGCGTGCCCCCACCCCAGGTCTGCAGCGGTGGAGGTGCTGCGGCGGTGTGGCCGGCGGCGCGTAATGTATGCTGCAGCGGCTCGGAGCCCCACGTAGGCCGGCGCTGCTGCCCCTGTCTGCTGACCTCTGCATGATCCCGGACTCTATGAATTATTGATGAGATATGAGCGTTGATTTCCCCTTTCAGGATGCAAACTCCATTATATTGTTAAAATGGCGATTTAATCGTTGAGAATAGCTTTGGTGTGGGTTTTTTCCCCCAACTCATTTGCGCCTCCTTCCTTTTCATTTAACTCTCTTAATTAAATCCTTTAACAGATTTTAATCACTTTTTGGAGGGAGGGGTAGGAGAAAGGAGAAGGCCGTAAGACTATCACTACCAACAACAACGGGACGCTAAAGCAAAATAAAACAAACCAAAGTCAAAAACCATCATAAGCCTCTACCTTTGAGAAGTTGAAAGGAAGGTGAAGAGAGGGAGGTTAACCCCTCTAGAAAGGATGCTCGTTAACCTCTGCTGGAGACAGACCTTTAGAGGGCTGGGGAAACCCACCAGAGACAAGGAAGAGTGGGGTGGGGCCTGCAGGAACGACCTGAGGGGTATTTAATCCACTCCTGCCCCGCCCCCACAACCATCACCACCATGAGACTTGTGTGTGAAGTTGACTGTAGAGACTAAGTCATTCTTGCCCTCGCTGAGAACTCCAGGGGCCTCAAGCCTGGGGAGGGCCACAGGATTCATGTGGAGAGGGTCCTCCAATCTCAACCTCAGAGTCACTTAGGGAGAAATATCCATTCTGCTTCAGGAACCCCCATTTCTCCCTTCCCCTCCCCAAACAGCTCGGTTTCCAGGCGGTGTTAATTAATATGGATGTGTAACCACGCTGCAGCAATCGATAAATCTCACTGTGGGCAGATCTCAGCCTCAAAATCCGATTACTCTGAGAAAGTCCAAAAATGGGGAGGATTACCAGTATCCCCTCCCTTAAAAGAGGGGAGCTCATTCTTGCTAGCCCTGTCTTCCAAGATTGACCAGGTTGGTCCCCCAAGCTGAGAAGT